AACTTTTTTATTTAATCTTAAATTGAACAGAACAGGCGCAGTTTGTGTTACAGAGTTGCTACAGATGAAACTTTCTCTGTTTGTGGGTCTATAATTTGTCATAACAGAATTCAAATTCAAATGTATTAATAAAATTATTAACGTAGTCGGAGATTTCATATATAATAGACTAAAATAAGCTGGTTGAGAATTTTACCGGTGGGTATTTGGAAACATTGGCTAACGAGATGTCAAATTCGGAATGTAATATGAAGTAGAGCTAGCGAGAGAAGTCACAACAAGACGTGGCTGCCAGAAATCTGATTTATACATCTAAAACCCTCAGTTTAAATGCAAAGAACTAATTTGCATTCTGGTAAGAAATACGAAAAGGAGAAGTTGTAGTAAGTACTTAAAATATAATAACTGGTTAATTACATAAAATATCAAACAAAACAAATAAAATAAAAAATAAGAATTGGTGTATTAAAAATTCTAAGGAAGTTTCAGGAGGTCTGACATCGGATGTGCAACAAGATACCATTGATGCACTAAAATTAATAAATTGTTAATAATATCTTGTAAAAGTAACTTTAATGTTTGCTTTAAAACGTTCGAAAACACATAAAAATTCATGTTAATACTGAGGTTAACACAGAGTATACAAACCTAGAAAAGCCTATGCCATAGGCACAATGACTATACAAATTAACCTCACACACCAGCTTATGTTTTTTTGTATAATCAGCTTATTTCTCAAGAAGAAATAGAATATACAAATAAAAATCACAGAAATAGAAAATTATGATATAAGGCTTTTAAAACTTTTCGCGAAATCTTTATTAAATTATTAACTAAAATTAAGGCTTTTAAGTAAATGGGTAAGATTTCAAGGATATCTAATTTGCCATCTGAAGAAGCTCCTTGGACAGAACCTTCGGAAGTCAAGTACAAAAATACTTGAGAAACTAACTGTGGAAGATTAATTTATTTCTCTTTTCATGACATTAAAATTTGTGTCCTTTAAATGCAAATTTTTTAATATTTGCTTAGTTGTTTCATGTATGTTAAACTACACTGACAAAGAATGATATGAATTCTCCAAAACATTAATGTAGAGAAAAGATCGAACAATGCATTTTTTAATAGCCAAAGGAATAATTTTGGGAAGCTTAAATGTATAAACTTTAAAATAACGTAATATAAATTGTTTGAAAAGATTTATCAAATTGACGATTAGAACGTAGTCGGATACCTTAAATTAGGAAAACTTCTTTTTTTTTCTTTTCAAAATAGATTGTAAAATCAAATACTGAAGTACTTTAATTACTCAAAATAAATGTAGGATAGCAAAAATAATATTTTCGCGAAAAAATGTTCTTAGTGAAGTTGGGAAAAAACGCATGAAGTCAGTACCTTTAGTGCGGGTAGTAATCACCACCCAATTCTATGATTTTCTACCAACCTTTTGGTAGTTTTTCAAAGCATTCAGCAAACGTGGTTGCCGCGAGTCCAAAAACAATTCGACCTCATTTCGGACGTCCTCTGCAAAATGAAAGATAACATCAGAAAGATGTAGCAGAAGATCTCATTCGAGTCCGTACAGAGTACAATCGGTAAATGCAAACATATGTCGTCTTGCATTACCTTGATGGAACATTACCTTTTTGCGACGGAACTCAGTTCTACATGCTACCTTGATAGCAGCGTCAACTCAGACTAGCATCACATTGTACACCTTACTGTCTAGGGTTTTACCTTTTCCCAGGTACTCTTTGTGGATCGGCACCACGGCAATCCCACCGCATACAAAGCATGATCTTTCTGTTCGTCAAATTGCGCTTTGCGACGTTGCCGACGGGCTCTTCGGAATTTCGCAACTCAAGTGGGTCACTTGAAATTTTGAAGTTAGTCATTCGGTGACCCGCGAGTCATAAATTGCCGAGGCCTGCTCTACGATGTAGTTATTTACTTCATGAAGATGTCAGATTATAATATAAAATATTTAGAATTTCGTTTAAAAATATCCTAACAACGCGTCTTCTTTTTAGGTTTGGATAGCTATCGCATTCTCCATCATTTGCGTGGCCGCACTGCTAACTTTGCTGGAAAACGGAATTGTACGTAACTCAGGACAAGGAATCCGATTCCAGGATGCGGCATTCTATATTTTTCAATCTCTTTTAACACAAGGTAATATCTTTTCTAATTTTATTTTTATTCTTATGAAACTTTGTACAACTAAATCATTTTAACTCCATCAGCTTATAAGGTATTTCTCCCATCTTCTTAGCATGCCTTCGTGGTGTAGTGGTCAGCACGCTCGGTACGTACTCGAGAGGTCCGTGGTTCGAGTCCTGGTATTATTCATTTTTCACGTCTCCTGCTTCAAAAATACCTAATGTCTCTACAAACTTATTGAAAAGGACAAGATATTTTGAAACATTCCTTGTATGCACCTCCATTAAACTGCCAATCTGTCTTCAGTAACAAAAGATCAGAAGAATAGAATCCAGATTCAACTAATCAAATATGATTGTTAACAAGATTCTTAAACCAGGATGTACTAAAACAGACACAACAACATACAAAGGAACGTAAAGGTTATAACTTAATTCATTTACACATCCAAAGCACCATGACGGAATTTAAAAAAATTCATTTTCTTCAATAAATGAATTTTTAGAGAACTTGTACTAATTTTTTTTTTTTTTTTTTTTTTCATTTCAAAATTTTTGTTTTCTCATTCTGCGCTGATTTCAAAAATTTCATTACCCGAATTTAGTCATCGATTTTTTAATAACATTAGTACTCCATCCACTTATTTAATCTTATTTCATTAGAAATACTTTTACTATTTCTCAACTACAAATAAAATCAGTACTGAAATTCCTTCTGATTATCAACATCTGATAACTGCTTTCTACTTCATTATCATCTTACTGTATTATCGTTACTTCATTAGCATCGTACTGTACTGCGTATAGTATCGTACTTCATCGTCATATTGTACTTAGATAGAAATCGCTTTTCTGCCTTATTATTTGGTTTGGTTTGGTTTGGTTTGTCTGAGTATGGCAAAGCACTCAAGGACTACCTGCCGAAGCGGAGGGATGCCTTCGTGGAGGACTTTCTTAGTAAAATGGCTCGTACCCATATTACACATGGGGAAAACAACGAAAACGCTCATGCAGTCAGCCCATTCGCTGGGATTCGAACCTCGGACCAAACTACCAGTATTCAGCGAATTTTTGCTAATTACGTCCATTTAAATCTTTTAACATTAAAAATTAATACTTTAAAAACTAATTATAAATGAATTTTTTTAAACTAATGTGTTCATCCTTACAATAGCAGAACATATTTGAAGATACAAAGGGTTTTAACGGCTAGAAGCCCCTTAGCAGTATTGGTCACACAAAATAATCGCTGCACATATTTAGACCCAGACATTCAAACCTACTTGAGTTCTCGTGTCTTCCAGCAATACATTCGATTTTATAAGAAACATAGCAGAATACTGCAATCATTACAATTATTGATATTTATAAGGTGATCTCTGAAAATAAAATAAAATATGCCAGAAAATAAGATCTTTTACTAATTTTAATGTCAATTTCTGGAAGAATTTACATGGGTAACAGTTCCAGTATTATACAAGCTGCACAATATTCTTTTTCTAAAAATTCAGAATTAATAAAAAACAGTTTTTTGTTTTTTCAGGCTAAGACTAAATTTTTTTAAGTATTTACTTTACAGGCGTAAGCAAATATCTTACGGTCCAAGGCTGTGGTTCTCAATCTCTCGGGCCCACCAGCGGCTGAGCGGCAAAGACGCTGAACACTGGTAGTTTGGTCCGAGGTTCGAATCCCGCGAACGGGCTGGCTGCATGGGCGTTTTCGTGGTTTTCCCCATGTGTAACGTGTATACGAGCCAGTTTCCCTTAGAAAGTCCTCCACGAAGGCATCCCTCCCTTCAGGCAGATAGCCCTCGTGTGCTTTGCCATAATTAAATAATCCTCAATCTCTCGGTATTTGGAGTATTTAACTAATTCTCTTACCTCTGAACTTAATGCTTTAAGTATACTTCTGTACCCCAGTTGGCCAATTTTGTAAGTTCAGAGACCAGTTCTGAAGCTACCAGTTCCTTATATATCTTTAGAAACAATTTATTTCTTGTTCAAGGCCTCGTTGAGTCCAGCTAATGTATCATCGTATGTTGCAAGACTTGTAACATACCTGCGCATGTTAAAAGTCTATTTGTGTTCTCTCTGCACGAAAGTCTGAGTAGTTCCGGGCGACTATTAAAATAAATCTGCAGGTATCACCTTCAATCGAAACAAAATGGAATTCCATTCGAACGAAAAAAAAAAAAAAAAAAATAGAAATATGCTATTTTATGTTTCCCTGAAATCCGTGGCCCAAGACGCTGGGTCTTGTGGGCCTTCATGAAAATCAGAATCTGAGGTGAACTATAAACGAAAAACGTCTTTCACAATTTGCTTAGCATGCTTTAAATTGTGAAATTTGTCAGAATATAACTTATTTGACGTTTTGCATTGCAATCTATTAATCAAATCTGGTCACATACTCTTGAGATAGCTAAAGTATATAACATTTGCCAAAACACGTAGGTCAGTCAGAAATTTGCACCTCTTTGTAAAAACTTTCTTTTACTTAAACTTTAAAGGCTATTTCGATGAAACTCTCTGGCGACAATTCAGACATTTAGCTGTATCGTGTGGCGTAGCGGCTTTTACGAGGAAATTTTAGTTTGTCTGATAATCACTTGTAAGCATGTCTGGACAGCTGAAAGTGGCGTCCAAATTAGAAATGCGTCCAGTGATTCGCTTTTTGTAGGTGAAAACGTGTAACGGCTGTGAAATTTATCGGCAGTTGCATGAGGTTTATGGTGAAAATGCTATGTAATGTCAAGCTATTGCGAAGTGGTGTGACATATTTAAGAACGGACGTATAGATATTGACGACACTGAGCACGATGGAAGACCATCAACTTCTGAAATGTCTGCTGGCATGAATGAATGCATTATTGCAAACAGACGCATAACAATAGCCGAAATTTCTAATGGACTAGATATTTCTCATGGAAGTGTGCATAAAATTACTGCCGATCAGCTTCAATTTCATAAAGTTTGTGCTCGATGGGTGCCTCGTCTACTGACGGAGGAACATAAAGGGAAGCGTTTTGAAATTGCGTTGAAATTTCCGCAATGTTACCAAAAGGAAGGAAATCAGTTTTTGGACAAGATTGTGATCGGAGATGAGTCTTGGATTCACCACTTCTCACCTGAAACGAAACGCAGATTCCCCAAGTGGAAACATTCCACTTCCCAGACACTAAAAAAGTGTCGAACTGTTCCATCTGCGGGAAACGGGATGCTGAAGCTATTTTCGGCAGAGAAGGTTTGCTGCATACAGATTTCATGCCGAAGGTTGCCACAATTAATGCAACTTCTTATTGTGAAAGACTAAAACGATTACGACAATCACTTAAAATCGACGCCCAGGTAAACTGTCGAAAGGCATTGTGTTCCTGCATGACAATGCAAGACCGCATGCAGCAAAACAAACGTGCGACCTTCTGAAAACGTTTAGGTGAGAAGTCTAGAATCACTCTTCTTATACCCCACACCTTGCAACGTGATTTGGTTTTGCTCCCATAGTAGCAGAACTTTCAAAGCATTTATGTCACTGGGATGACGAGGTGAAAACGGCAACCCAAGAATGGTTATCGGGCATTGGACGGGATTTCTTTGCAGAAAGCATCGACAAAACTTGTACCACGCCTCGACAAATGCTTAAATAATGGAGATAATTACGTTGAAAAATAGATTTTGGATGGAACTTTAAGATACAAATAAATTTATTGTAAAATTTCTCTCCTGTTTTGTTTTCTAAAGCAGTGCAACTAACTTTTTGACTGACCCTCGTATATGCTAAAAATTATCAGATATTCATTATTTCTTATTTAACTCAGTTTTTATACCATCTTAAACCTAATTCATTCAATAGAGTCTACTATGTTTTATATGGTATAAACGATAAAAGCAATATGATTAGTACACATTTCACTGTAGTTTTCAATTCATAATAACAAAATCTGTTGATTTCTATTTATGGTTTTCTAGGTTATTACAATGCAAGTTACACACGCTGTCGAATACTGATGTCTTTTTGGTGGGCTTTTTGCATTACACTTGTAGCTGGATATAACGGCAGTCTGATGTCTTTCATGGCGAATCCGGGACTCAATCCAGCCCTCGACACAATCTCACAACTAGTGGATGCAGTTCGTTATGGTCGAATTGCAGTGGGAACTATCCAGGATTCAGCAGAGTATGCCGTATTTAAGGTAAATAATATATTATTAAAATTCATCTATATTTTAGCTCGATAATACTTTGTTATAAAACAGCTGGAAATCGTATTAGTGCAGAATAATTTGAAAGAAATGCATCTTGGAAATTTCAGAATATAAACTATAAAATTAATGCATTAAATATAAATCAGATATGTTTCTTTCATAGTTATATTGAAACTTCTCAAACTATAAATACACCAGACTTCCTCATTAACTATTTCTTCAGCCTCCCAGACGGTATAGTAGTTAGGGGAGCCTGACTGCGATACCGAAGGTCCCGGGTTGCGCAATGGCAAACCGCACATTGAGTGGACCAATGTTAAACGAATTTCGTTTATTGCGCATGCCCAGAATAGAATTTGGCGCAATTTTAAAAGAGGATAAATACCAAACAGTTCGGAGTTCTAAAACTTGTTAGGCTGTAAGTTGCTTCATTAATTAGAGTGTAAATATCGATTGTAAACTACTCAAATTTTTGTTTAAGAAGGGTTACATAGTTAACCTAGTTACAAATTTAGTTTCCTAGCCTAGTTAACCTAGTTTAACCTTATTTCCTGTTACAAAACAGGAAACATTACAAGATGTATTAGTTGAATGCTTAATGCTTATTGATTATACTTATCAGTAATAAAAGCAATTGAATATTTACCATACATTCCATTCGTATATTCTTTAACAAATTAAGAATAAATTCAGTTTAAATTACTGAATTAAATTCAGAATTCAAACAACAAAAATCAGCGTTATATTTTCAAATTTTCACAGTGAAATTGCTGTGAAAATTTTAAAATATAACGCTGATTTTTGTTGTTTGAATTCTGAATTAGTATTTGTTCGGCGTGTTATTGTGTCTTAATTACTGAATTAAAGTCAAATAACTGATATTAAACAAAATGAAATGAAACAGCACATGCAATAACTACACACAAATTTCCGTAGTATTGCAATTGTAAACAGTAAAACCAACATGACTAACAGGCTTGTATTGGGTTGCTTCTGCCCCTTAGTCCCCAATATTTCCTCCCACGCCAAGGGTACACCATTGAGCATGCGCAGTAAGCGTAATTTGTTAACATTGATCAACTCAATGTGCGGTTTGCCACTACGCGCCCGGGTTCGAATCCCGGAAAAGGCATGGATGTGATTAATAAGGTCTGTCCCTTCATGCGAGGCAAAGGGGGCCTACCTATAAGTTGCCTCCATAATAAAGAGCCACTACATCTGGCCTTAAGAGTGGCTGATGCCTACATAGGCAAGTGCCCGCCATTGGGAAAAAAACTATTTTTCAAGGCATATTGAGCTCATTATCAGAAGAGAATGAAATAGTTATTCATACAAGGAGAATGCATTTGAACTTTCCTATTTGTGGAGCTCTGTCCAAATGTTAATAAAGTACATTCATAAGCTGTACTATTTCAAGTGCTGCTTTTAGCAATATGCCATAATATGTATCTTTGGTACGATGTTTTTAATGGCAAAACACGGTTGTGTAACAAAATGCAGCTGGCAGAAGACATGGGCATACAAAATTACGTTTTTAACAGGCTATGCTGCTATGGATGACCCCAAAAGAACTTTAAGAAATCCCTAGGACCTTAAGGAACAAGATGAGAGATCAGATAATAAGGTGGAAAGGCAAAGTGAAACCGCTGGCCTTTTGGGTTCTCGTATTATGTTCTCGAAGACCTTTCTATGTAGACTATGGTTTCTCAAATTATGAAACATGTATCATTAACGAAACATTACATTATTTTTGGTGGTATAATTTTACATAAAAGGTTTAAATAAATGTTCAAAATGAATATAAAATGACGCTCCTTCTGGTACATATGTTGGTACATGATAGAACATGCACTTTATTTATGTGGTACAATATTAATTTTAAATGTTTGAGAACCTCTGATGTAAATCAAATCATTTTCGAAGTATTTCTGCTCTACTTGAAATTGTCTAAATCTACGCTGAGGGTTAACAAATTTGTTTATCATACTCTCATGTTCCTCATGAATTGCTAAGCAGATCTTATTATTTGAGAAACTTCGGTTTCAAAGTAAAATGCTTCAATGATAAATAATATTCTAAATTCATAAATGTGGACTGGCAAACATAATGAAATTTGTTCCATTTCATATGGGTTTCGCTTAGTCCATGCTCACAAAACGCGTAATTCCATTTTCAGCTGCGCATTACCAATTTCATGCGAGCAAGATATGTGGAAACGAATGGCAGTCGATTTTGGAAGACCTGCAGCTATGTGTTCTGGTGCCCGTTAAAATTCAAATAGATAGAAATTTAAAATATTCTGTAAAATGTTTCTGAAAATTCCACGGTATGTGTATACGTTTTAAGGTATCCGACCACGTTGGGAGCACGTTTTTTCAAAAAAGTAGTATAGGTATACTATAAACACATTTCCTCATTTATTATCTACAGAGATGAATTATGGAATATCAAAATTTAATATATACTATTATTATCCCGCAAAAAATATTAAATTTTAAGCAATTTTAAAACAATTTGAAACATTCTATATGAAAATATATTATATTTAAAAAAATCATAGAATATAAAATTACATGCTTTTATCTAGGGAATGACATAGGATTTTAACGATATCTTAAATATTTTTGATAAATTCACTATGTCATTATTTAAATAACAGGCCATAATTTCAAAAATATTTAACATATAAATATTCTGGTATGTCATTCCCTAGATAACTATACATAGATTAAGCATACAAAGTTTCATAAAATAAAATTAATAATAATTTGATTCTTGCACCAAGTGAGCCAGTTTTTAGAAAAAATAGATTTTGAGAAAAATGCATTTAAAGTTAAAAATGCTATATTTTAATTATTAAATCCTGACCCAGATACCTAAAACTCCTCGTATCTTTAGGTTATACCTTCCTTTTGTTCACATTTATCTGTTTTTCTATTTATACTTATCCTATTTGTTTTTTGTGGCAATTTTTATTCTGAGAAGTGAGTGTTATTTTGATTTACTTATTCGCTTCATGTCGAGCTTACTAAATCTCTGGATTGCATATTCACCATTTTTCATACCTATATAATTTAAAATATCTGGTAAGAATAAAAGCCCTCTGTTCAAGAGTATAACAGCTATATATGCCCCCAATTTGCGACTTTGTAATTCCACAATGGCAAACCATCGGTATAAATTTCCAAAAAATGTCATTAAAATTTTGTTTGCATTTTGTGTCTTTCTTTATAAGCACTTATATAAGAGCTTCTGCTCACATAGTTTTATATACGCTCTGAAAAATATTAATTGCATTATTTGGCCCAGTCCTTTGGATTTGTTTGTGTACACTCTTCTAACTGATACAGCTCGCTGATATTTACAAAAAATGTCTGGTCCATCTGGGCACTGACCATGTATAAGTAGTTTTGCACTAGACAAAGTGTGAAAAAATGGAGCAGTTACAGCACTTTCCATTCGTTGTTCCTGATTCTAACTCCATTTTGAAGTTTGTCAAGAAAGACATCCATTAGTGAGCGACGGTGAACCTTCCAGCAAGATATTTTTGTTTTTCCTTCAATTTTCTAACTCTGGAACGGGGCTTCTGAATATGACTTATGCGTTCATATTTAGTGACACTGCCTAAATATAAATATCTTTTACGTCACAAATCACTTTCAAAAGCATCTCCTGCCGATGAGAAACATTTTAATTTTAGTTCACTCGATGGGAATTGCTTTATTAATATTATTTTCAATTTCCTTCTCAACCCGTTTCATAAATTTGTTCCTTACGCATTTTCGTTTACAAACACGGCTTAGACGTTTTTATCACCCTTTATTATTATACTTTTAACTCGAATGTTATTAAAAATAATCAAAGACTAACATGAATCTAATTGCAGTATGCAATGTTTCGAATCAAATCAAGCTCATATGCTAGCCAGGACATAACACTTTCAGCATTTAATTAATAAAAATATTGCATTTTATTGGAAATAACTTCGTGTTACTGCACAGATTACAGATAACATCCTATTAATTCCCTCTCTTTAAAAGTCTTTACATTACATTTCAAAGGTAAAATATTGTTTGTGTTCATATTTAGTTCTTTTCAATCCTTTAAATGCGCACTTTCGGTGATTTAAATGCCAATTTCCGGTTTTTGCGTCTTTATGAAATTATTAATATCTCGGTTTCTAATTAACGTAGAAACAAAGGCAGACCAGTTTTGGAAAGCTAAATAAACAATCTATCCAATGAACGAATAAAAGAAAATTGCCATTTTTTACCAAAACTGGTCTTTTTCAACGTGTTCGGATACCTTGGAAGACCTGCAGCTATGTGTCCTGGTGCCCGTTAAAATTTAAATAGATGTAAATGTAAAATATTCTGTAAAATTTTTCTGAAAATTCCACGATATGTGTATACGTTTTAAAGAATTTTCTGATTACCCTAATCGTCTGTGAATGCGTAACTATGAAATATTCTGTTTGTTCAAAACTTGAATTATTTATTCATTGAAGACTAATTTGCGTGAGTAAACCTCGACGTTATTGTTTAAACCATGTGAAATGCAGACACAGCATTATTTAGGTTGTCATGACCACAGCATGTTGTTTTATTTCCAAGCTGTTTATTTTTCTGAAGTAACGATCTCCTAATTAATATTGTTACCGCAGTTAAATGCCAACACTGGCAAATATAACATTTTTAAAGTGCAACTTGATAACTAAAGAGCTATCTTAATTTTTTTATGTCAAAATTTGCACACAGTAGCCGTTTCAGCATAGAACATTTTTAAAGTGCAACTTGATAACTAAAGAGCTATCTTAATTTTTTTATGTCAAAATTTGCACACAGTAGCCGTTTCAACATAGAACTTTTGGTACTTTTCCGTTTTGCCGGCGCAAACGATAAAGTCGCCAATAATGGTACAACTGATGCCAAACGGAATATCTTCGCTGGTAACCTTTTACGCTTCATTTTCAAAACAAGTTTCAGCCA